TCAGTACTTAACTCAAATTTATATAGAGTCCTTTTTGTATCTTTGTAACCACCTCCAACTACATTGTTGGTGTCGTACATTTATTGTTTTTTTTGTTATGACAGGCATTGCCACAATATCATTTCCATATTGGCAATATATCCTATTTTCCATCTTGTTGCATATGGAGTATATTGTTGTTGTACTTGGTGGAAGGATGTATCAACGAAATAAAAAGATATACACACGTACATTTGCTTACACATTCACAAACATTACATGCCACATGCCACATGCTACATGCAACTGAGTCACTCGAAAATTCACTGTATTTGCATGTTTACGTATGTGTTTGAAAAACTAAGCTCCACACACACACACACACACACACAAATGCCTTAGTATGAATGAAAATTCATGTGCTCATATGTGCATTGTACACCCACGTCTAAATAAAATATAGTACTTGTGTGCATCTATAATCTATTGCATCTGTCCGAGCTTGTGATGCTGGCCTGTAGGGAATTCCCGTAGTTTATTACAAATGTTTATCATACGCCATGCACAACAAATAGTTTACAGTTTTGGAGAGTATTTAATGGTTAAATTATTTGTGGGAATTTTGGTGAATTTAAAATAGTTTTTGTAGTTTTGTATTAAATATTTCGTCTATACTTTAACTTCTGGCTGCTCTCTCCGACAATATATAAAATGCTAGAATATTGGATAGTCGAGAAAGTCTTTTCGTATTTCTGATCAAACTTCATATATATTTATTCAAATAAATAAATAAACCGAAATGTACCATTTTGGTCGAAACTTTTTGCCATTTTTCCGCTAGAGACATTATTCCATCGAAATTTCGAAATTTCCAGAACGGAAGCGAGCGAACCAATGTTGTGCTACACGAACTGAATCGTTTCTGAAAATTTTACAAATTTCATTGGTGGTTTGCGTGGCATTCTTCACTTTTTATACAAAAATTTGAAAATATAGCGAATTTCTTCATTATTTTCACTAATTTTTTGAACAGCTGAAATTTTTTTTCAACTTCCCCGGTTTTTTTTGTTAAATGTCAMTTTTCCAACACTATATAGGATGACACAATGTGTTTGGTAGCACTGGAGAAATACGACTGCAACGACATCTATTGACAAAATACGAAAAGATTTTTTCGACTAGCCAAAATTTGATTGAAAACAGCTTGAAATTGTCGAGTCGGCAACTCTTCAGGTCAATTATTCCAAACCAAAAAACAGAAGCCATTTCCATTTTTAATTATCTTTGATATAATGCTTTTAATTCTGTAAAACTGACTGCGCTTGCCAAAATGCAATTTTATTTTATGTTAAAATTTTTGTCCACYAACTTAACAACATTTTAATTAATTTGAATAATAAATACAATTCTGTGAACATTTTTCCTTTGACCCCAATTGCCACTGGTCAACAGTGATATTGTCTATATACATATACATATGTGTATCAATCGCAGCTTATAGTATATCTTTYAGCAGTAATAGTTCGGCTCAGTGGATTTGCACTCAGCCAGGCGATGAAGTCAATTTTATTGCCCAGCACATCCAATGCCTAGCAACCAAGCTGTTGCGGTTAATGTCATCCAAAGTACATTTAACCAAACAAATTTACATGCACACCAACACAAGCACCGCCCTGCCATTTACCCGTCACCAACAAGGGCTGCATTGTTGTGCTAAAAGAGCGTTGGCTTGGGCAGCCTTCATCTCATTCACTCTCAATTCGTTCTTTCGTCCGAGTAATCCCGTGTTCAGTGTCCAATGTTTATTTTTCATTGTCCAATGTCCGTTGTCCAGTGCATTCATCTAATAGTTATTGACCGACATTTTGTTCTGGCTATTTGTTGCAAGTATACAGCATTTATTGACTTGCTATTTTCTTGTGTTTTTCAGTTATATTGTTTTGTGTATTCCACTTTATTTGCTTTTGGTTTCGTTTGATTCAGGTCTTTTTGTTTTTGTTTTTCCTTTTCATTTTTAATTTCATTGTTGCTTTTGTTTTTGCTTGTGTACATATTTTCTACTTGAGCTGATTGAACATCCAGCAGCGCACACAAATTGCTTCCTCGCTTATTGAAGGGGCATAAATTCAACATGACACACCTTGCAACAATGTTTCATTGTGCAGTCACTGGGTTTTGTGCATTTGCTTTGCTTGAGTGATTGACTGAGGGCTTGCTGATTCTGTTGTAGCGCAGGGTGAGCCAAGCACTGTATAGCTTGAAGGATATTACACACATGTAGGTGTGTGCAGTTATAGTGTGCGTGTATGTGTGATATTGAAAGGATTGCTGAACGGTGCATATAAGCATATAAGTATATTATACATTTTGCTTGATAAAGTAAGTCTATGAAAACAATTAATTGGCTGTTTTGGGTGTCATAGTTGAATGAGTCGAAGTCGTGGGTATAACTTGGTGCGGTTTGGGAAATAGTTTTAAAATTCTGTTAAACCTACGTAGGTATTTATATCATAAGAATACAACATATTTTGGATTATCCATCACAAATTTCATTCCYGGCTTGCGTGTTTAAAAATAAATTTTAAAATATAGGACATTTTTTCATTATTTTCACTCATTTTTGAACAGCTGTAAGTTTTTTCAACTTTTGGTTAAATGGAGCTTAAAATCTCACCTTTCCAACACTATATGGTATGACACAATGTGATTGGTAGCACTGGAGATATACGACTGCAACGACATCTATTGACAAAAAACGAAAATACTTTTTGGACTACTCAATATATTTTCGAGGTTGGTCAAAAAGTATCACGAATTTTCTATTTCTTAAGAAAGTGTTTATTTATTCAAGAATATTGATTTTGGTTGTTTCAAAGTCATCACCCCAGATATATTGCACATCTATGAGGGTTTTTTCCATACTAAATCACTTGAAAATTTTTTTCTGATTTTGTTTAGTTTCGATGCAGTTTTTACCTCCTCAATCGCAGCGCAGTGTCGCCCTTTCATGGGCCGTTTCAGCTTTGATAACAAAAAAAGCCCTTGGGGATAGATCTGGCGAATACGAAGACTGCGAGTTAATGTGTAGTTTTTGGTAAAATACTTGCGCAGAAKAAATGATACATGAGGAGTTATCATGGTGTAAAAACAATTTTTGTTCGTCCACAAATTTAAGCGTTTCTGACTCATATTATTCATTATTGGCGATAGGACACTTTGGCAAGAATTCATGATGCATGGCGCCTCTTTTATAAAGATTCCCTTGACATCGACCTTGTCAGCATAAGAAAGGAATATGTGTACCAAAATAACTCAACAAAACAATCGAAAATTCGAAATTCGCAATATTTTTTGTACAAATCTCGTATGGAGAAATTCATATTTTGAGTGAAGTTTGAAAAATCTGCTACTAACTTTTAACACACAATAAATTAWTGAGAATCAACTAGCCTATGTTTGAATTTATATTGTAACAATAATAAAAKATATAATTTGACCAATATTATACTTTCCACCGACACAAAGTGGGTTAAACTTCCAAAATACCAATCGATATCGTATATCGATAATATCTAAGGTTTGAAAATTTTGAAGTCGATGTCAGACACACAGGCCGAGTCGAGTTAGACGAACTTATAGCAGGCCCGTTTCTTTGTTGTGTCTTCGATACATTTTTCTTTGCTGAGTTTCGAGAAAAAAGTCACACAGACCGATATCTGCCGAATACTGTAACTGAGGGTTAACTACCGTTTCGTGTTTGATCAAAAAGTTAGTCATAATCATGCTAGAATGTGAAGTCGCATTTTCATGATTAAATGAGAGATCCTCTGCTATCGCTCTGATGACTCTGACCAATACGACGGYTTGCAAGAACTTTTCTTTAACTGAAATTTTCGATGATTTTACGATCTTCACTAGTGCAACAAGCAAGCTCAATAAAAWTTTTTTTTTGCGTGGATAAAATCACCTTTTTTCGTCAACAAACAGCTGCCAAATACACACTTATGTCATGTGAATATCAAAATGGAAATGAAGTTTTACYAATTTAGGAAAAAATATTGTATCGATCCTTTTTGTCCACGCAGTTAAATTGCACCAGTCCGGTCGAAAGCTATGTTATATCAATACATAGATCACGTTTTTGTTTGTATAGTAGGGAGAAGCATCGAAAGCCGTAGTGCGAAACTTTACTCCGTTAAACCCAACCTATTCCCAAATAAATAGTCTCCCACGGAATCACCTGTTAAGTATTACTGCGTGGGAGGGATAGGACATTTAAGTCTCCTATACTGTTGATAAAATTTTGGTTTTATCATTATGAATGCTGACGCTTCRCTAACAGCTTTCCATTTCTCAGTCGACGGACACAAGAGTGTCKTTAAATTGTCGACCGTAAAACTACCACGGAATGTGTTTTATAGTTCATCCCATGTATTTAAAAAGCGAGACCAATAAACTAATACATATTCAGAGTCTTCTATATACTCTGTAAACTTATCCGACTAAGTATTTGAATCAGAAGGAAATCCAGGTCGTCTGTGCATGCCCAGTATAAGTTTGAGGGTCCAGCGCCAATTAGATAAGGAATGATCACCTGTATGTTTGTGGATGTAGGTCCATATTTCAACTCTCAGCATAGCACTTCATAAGAACGTTAAGTGATTTCATTTTAATAATTAATTTATCCACATTTCTATAATTTCTGAAGGTGTGATTATTCGCGAATGGGTTATATTAGTCTTCAGTATATCAATTACAAAATTGAAAAAAAAAAAAAAACTTTTCAAGAAATGTGCATTTATTCTTCTCTAATTCGCAGCAGAATATTTAATTTTCATTATTTTTTTAAAAAAGAATAATAAACACTGCAAATTGCATTTTTTCAAATTATTTTGTGCATGCCAGCGCATTCCGTGTACCCTTATCATTAGCTGTTGCGGTCATATTTTAAATTAGTCCATAATCAACCTAAGGAAATTGCATTTTATCCACTCATTAATATTTTTCCCTTGGCTTTTCAGAAAGTGTGCGGCTTATGGCAGAATCTCACATTTCTCCGCGATTCGCTTTCATTCCATACACCTACGAAGCAACAGCTACCAGCGGACACCACAAAATCTAAGCTGCGTACATACAACTACGGACATTGGATTGCAGGTGGGCCAACGCCAGTGTTGTTGGCAAATAGTAGAGTGCATTTCCAGCGTTGACAGTTGAACACAACGAAATTGACGCGTTGACAGGCAACGGCTGGTGCTGAAGAGGGGGGTGGGCCAACAAAGACTAGGCGGCTAGTGAGACTCTACTCGGCTTAGCGACGCAGGGCGTGCACAACAACTGAAAGGACTACACAAATTATGTGAGTATCGGAAGGCGAGGACAAGGCACAGAAATACGTTGCGCATACGCCACGTAGCGCTGAGCTTTTCAAGCCAGCTGATACGCACGCGCGCAAACACACACCTAGAGGTGTCAAGTTATCTTATGATATTAAACTTAACTCTATTCGTTTTTAATAGATTTTTTTATTTTGTGTTTATTTTGCYTCGCAGAATGTCTTGTACAGTTTCAGAGCTGCCTTCGGGATGTCACCTGCGTGGCATGGGATCCACCTCATCCTCTGCGGTAACGACTGTGGCGACGGGGGCGACCAAAGCACAAAGTGGTGGCGGTGGCGGCGGAGGTGGTAGCACCTTGAGTACAGGTGGTGGCAGCAATAGTGGTGGTCTCAATAAGGGCGGCGGTATACACGTGGGCGGCATGCTGAGCACAACGAGCGCGTTAGGTGTGACAACAACGAGTTCACGTGGTGGTTCGGCGGGGAATGCTGGGGCGAGTTTACTACCCGAGACGTTGATGACGACGCCGGCGATGACGACCAGCACAACACAACGACAGCAGCAGCAACAATCACAGAAACCCTGCTGTTTTTGCTGGTGTTGCTGTTGCTCGTGCTCGTGGTAAGTGCGGGGCGGGGCGGAKCGGGGCGATTGGCATGCAAGCTAGTAGATCTGCAACTTAAGTGCCTTGCACTTTCTTGCAGCTATTGCTGTGCTACGCTGAAATTCCACAGCTTGATAYTTTGAATTTCATGTTACTGACAGTTTTCTATTTGCTCTTTTATTTTATTTTTGCTCGCATATTTCTTGCGTTGGCTGCACTTGACGTATCGCTGTCGCACATCGCACATCGCAGGGCAAAGTGGTGAGTACACGAACGGAATTTATTAAAGATAACATTAAATTAATTTCAAAGTGTTTGAAGAATTTTTCAAAGCGGATTTAAAATTCTTCTTYAGTAACTAAATTTGCTTAGTTTACTGCTACATTGTGGATTGCGAGTAGTTGTTACCATAGTAGACAGTGCAAAGAGGCGTGTGCAGTGTATCGGGTGTTTGCTTGGAAGAATGGACTAAAAATAGAAATATTCAGTCTTAATTGAAGTCATATTATTATTTTGACTTATATTAATTATTTTTCCATTAATTATTTTATGTCYTTGGTATACTTGAAGATTTTTCTTTGTTAATTTATTATTTTAGAGACAATTTAAAGCGAGTAAAACAACAAACATTTTGAAGTAATTACTGTCAAAAGCCTTTTAGTTACTTTTGAACATATCCAAACGATTTATATTCTTCCAGAGTTAAAATATTTTTATATATTTTTATACTCTTGCAACCAGTTGCTACAGAATATTATAGTTTGTTCACCTAACGGTTGTACGTATCAAATAAAACTAAGCGAGAGAGATGTAGGGATATATATAAATACATATATACATGATCARGATGACGAGAAAAGTTGAAATACGGTTGACTGTCTCTCTGTCCGTCCGTCCGTGCAAGCTGTAACTTGAKAAGAAATTGAGATATCTCAGTGAAACTTGGTTTGTGAGTTCCTTGATACAAAATYGAGTTCGTAGATRGGCGTAATCAGATCACCGCCACGCGCACAAAACACCATTAACCGAAAACACATAAAGTGACACAACAAAGCAGTAAATTACGTTATAAAGATGTAACTTGGAACAGAGGATCRCAACCTGACGGCAAAGTTTTTTGAAAAGTGGACGTGGCCTCGCTCTCTAACAAGTTTAATGTAGATAGCTCCTAAACCRCTAAAGCTACAATAACCATTCTTCAGCACGAATATTACAAGAWCTCCTACCGGTAGTATRAAAATAGATGATATCGAATGAAAACCCCGCTAACTCCTCAAATAACGRTACTGTTCAAAACTACTAAAAACGCGACAAATCAATAACTAAATATGCCAGAGACATTAAATTTGACCACCGAGATGGTATGAGAGAGCTTTATGAGAGGCGGTGTGAGAATTGGCCGATGGGCGTGGCACCGCCCACTTTTTGGTGAAACCCCATATCTTGGGACYCGTCCAACCGATTTCATTAAAATTTAGTACGTAGCATGTTTTTGATATTCTTATGTTTCATTGTGAAAATAGACACCAAAAATACCTGCTCCCATATAACACAATTTTAGATTCCATCTGATTCTATATAACTGATATATATATATGTAACAGAAATTATCCTTCTGTATGTCAAAAATTGGTTAAATCGAACCAATACTTCCCTCAGCTCCCATATACCTAATAGAAATATTTTCGAACTTCCAGGTGACTTTGTACTGCATATGTATATTGGCTAAACTATGAGTTATAACACTGAAAATAAGATATCGTGTTTTACTCATAACGGTGTAACTTTGGGCCAAAAATAAATAAATTTGAGCAAAAACGTGGCCTAGCCCCCATATAAATAATATCAGGACTTTCAAATATCCGGTTGACTTTACACTATATGATTGGTTTTACACTTTGAAGTAATTCACCCGCTTTGATTTTTGCAAGTTGCGGGAGCATRAAATGTTCAGTTGGACCCGAACTTAGCCCTTTCTTACTTGTGTTATATTACATTAGATCTCAATTGTTATAAATACTTCCAGTTTTAGAAGCGATAATCTGTCTCAGATCACTAGGAGCTTATCTGTTTACTCAAGTTCACTTTATGTATTTTGACCTCTATCGACTGCATTTCTAGGCGATGTCGAAGAAAATCCTGATCAGTCTCGATGCCGATACCGATGAGAAAAAGAGGAGGTAAAAGCTAAAGGACTAGTTCGTATGTATACAGACGAACGAACATGCTTAAATCAACTTAGCTCGTCAAGCTGATCATTTACATATACACTATAGACATACTTGTAGATCCTAKATTCTCGTTCTGGGTGTTACAAACGTCAACGAAAACTACCTGTTTAGAGTACAATAGTTAGTTTATACTGTTGTTTTTGGTTTGTAATCCCGAAATTTTTATTTAAAAATAMATTTTATTTAAAAATAAATTTTTGGTGTGTGGCCAAATTTATTGAGTGTAAGACGTCGATTGGTTTAATTTTTCTGATAATATTAATTCCTAATTTGGATTTTAAAACTTTTTAGTAAATCAGTTTAATTTATAATTTTCGATTTTGAAATATAAAATCATATGTTATTTATTCGCGGAGCCAAACATATTATTTCAACTTTTTTATAATATTAGAAAAGGTAAAATCTAAACGTTTTTGAGCGAAAATCCTTTATGAAAAACTATTTCTTTACTCAAAAGAACATATCACGTGAAACTGAAGGCATACGCTCGATGCATAATAAATGAGTAGCTAATTACTCATCAGATGTTTGTCACGGCCATCCGCCTACAGTATATACCGAGCTGTGACCTTTATGCCTGTGCGCTTTGCCATTTGAGAAATTCTATTAAATCTGTACAACTTTGCAAATAAATGTCATTTACTGCTGACTCTCAAGCAGGCGACAGTACGATAAGAAAGCGAGGAATAACGTCAAGTGGAGAAAACAAAATACAAAATTGTCAGATTTCAATTAAGTCTAGTTAAGAAAATGCTACAGATGATTTTTTTCCAGTTTAAATACACACGCAAACACGCATTTATAAGAACATATACATACATATATATGTATGTATATATAAAAGTACAGCAGAGCGCTTGTACATGCACATACATATATATGTATATAGTACTGCGCGAGTTGATATGATTGAATTAAACCTACACAAGCATTCCAACCACAAATGTTACGTATACGCAGTGCTGAGTGCGATGCTCTGTGAGCAAAGCRCCAACAGAGGCGAGCCAAGCMACATTGAGTTCGGTTGAGCTGAGCCGAATTGCCAAAGAGACCAGGCGAGTGCGAAGTTGAAGCTGTAACAGCACAATGCGTTGGGGGAGTAAGGTGTGTGGGTTGCTTTCCCACTAGATGAATGGCAYTGTGTGTTGAAGCGCAGCGGGGAAAGAACTGAATTGCCCGAATTTTCGATGAACTTGTGCACAAGCAGACTTTCGCCATTCATTAAACGCGAGMAAATAGAGTGCAGGTCAGGTAGTTGGCAAACGAAGAAGAGGAAGAGGTGGCAAAGGCGTCTAATACTGACAAGGCGGAGTGTGTGCGCAGAAAAGTTGTGCATATCGAGCAGAGCGAGACAGGCAGCCATGTATTTGGCTGGTATTATTACTAACTCGAMTGCTTGACGATTTGAACTTGGCATGAAATATTGTAAAAGGGTTGTTATGAAAAAAGTTCTGCGAAATTCGAGGTAGATAACCGTAAGATTTTCACTTTAGCGTATTTGTGTGCCCTTTTCTGYACCTAAAAAATACTTTGGGGTTTCACCAACTGTTTTCTGTGCCCTTTTGCGCGCACCGTCTTCTTTGTATCCACATGTTTACCTTACTCCACTTTATGCTCTACTCAGCGCCGCACGCTCAACGCATTTGTGCGGTCATGGTCGTTCAAGTGCTGTGACATCACACACTTACATTCGTACAAGGAGTATGCATAGAAACAATGTAAATACGGTTGGTATCTGCTAAAGTCACAATAATGCCATTTTGCGCCTGTTTTGTGGCACAGCTGCTCTGATGGATGAGCTGTAACCGTAGCAAATCCATAAAAACCATAAAAACGAGCATGGTGTGAGGCACACGTGGGCGTTCAAAGGGCGTACCACATGACTTCTCACATACACGTATGCACTTATACGCACACCCACACATTTATACCACGCAAGTGCCGAGGACAAATAGAAAAAAAAAGTATGCATGTATGTTGTAGCAAATCACACAATTGTGGATGTCTACAACCGCAGCATGGCTGGACTCTCGGCTAGGCTACGGATTCATTCATTTAAATTTAGGCGTAGCGCCCAAGGCACAAACGCACAACCAGTACATATACCGACATGTGCAGAAATTATTTACTTTTATGCAGCTGGTTGTTGTTGTTGCTGTGTTGCTAGCGCATTAGCTTGTGGGAAACCTCATTAAGTTATAGTTTAATGAAAGCCAGATTGATAGCGCCAATTAAAGGACTATACGACATTTAATACTAATACCCAACACTTGCATTGTACGTGTGTATAACTTAGAGGTGTAAAATGGCAGCAAAACATCAAACGAGCGCACATCAAAGCATTGCTCTGCCTACATTTATGTATGTAATGTACATTCGGTAATAATATTATAACTTCCCTAATTGCTCCAATCAGATTAGACACATACCATATTACCCTGTCTACCAGTGAACCTCAAGCAGCAGCAGACTACACTTTCAAGCTTTCCAACGCTGCTGTATTTTTCGAATATTCTGCAGGCTTACAAGCGCCCTGGAAAGCGTAGCTGATACTGCTTGGAAATGCCTGAATGTGTGGATGCTGGAAATTCGAACTCACGCATTAGAATTGAGAGCGTTTTCACAATTGCGATGTGGGAGTAGTTTTTGAAGGAGAGAGCAAATGRGGCAGAGTGAGGCAGAAAAGAAATACAGAGAGTTTACAAGGAAAAGCTTTTGTCGCAAAGACATTTTTGTAGGGATACCAATATTTACTATACTATATAAAAGATGTGGTTCTTTAATTTGATAAGGTAAAGGGGAATATTCACGTAGTTTCCATTCCCAACACTGGTACAGTATTTATATGTTCCACGAAAAAATCGCTGAAAGGGTTGATAACACTGTTAAAGTCGTTCCGGTCTTCCGTTTCTGAATCTCAAAAAACTAATCTCTGAAAGATAATGTCCTATGGTTAGAAAAAATTTWAAAAATTCACAAAATGGCTCCTTTTACTTTTGCTTACATTTTTTGCTCGTTTTTCAAATGCCA